ACCCCTGTCTCACTACAGTTTGGCCACACTGACTAACTCGCTGCTCCCCCGGCACACCGGGCATGACCCTGCCTCAGGGCCTTTGCATTTGTGTCCTCTCCTGAAATGGCCTTTCTCCAGGCATTCCTGTGACATAACCCTTGCTCAAATGTCACCTTCTCAGAGACGCCCTCCTTCCACCCCATACAAAAAGCGACTCCTTCCTCCTCCATCCACTCTCCCACCCTGCCCTGAGACATCCTTCCTCTCTCTCCCAGCTTTATTTTCCTCCAAAGCGCTCTCGCCACCTTATGTGTATGTTTACTGTGTCCTCGTTCAGACGCCCCCTGCCTGGAAGAGTGACTGGAACACAGTAGCACACGCTAAATATCCGCTGCAGAGAAAACCACGGGACAGAAAATCCAATGGACAGAATTTATAGGGGCAACATGGAAAACTTGAAAAGCTGGGCTTGAACCTTGCTTCCTTAGGTCCCTCTGCTCCCACCTCACCTTTCTCACAGCCCCTCCCCCACCCCCAGTGCCCGAGGTGGTGGTAGCAGACCCTACACGGGGTAGATCTCAGACACAAAATGAGGCCAGGAGGCAGGGGCAGAAGTGTGGCCCAATTCATGGCTGACTGTATCCGAGCTCTGGCTGTCTGCACAGTTTGGGGTTGGGTTTTTTTTTTTAAATGCTTTTATTTACTTTTGAGAGCGGGTAGGGGAGGGGCAGAGAACGAGGGAAACAGAGGATCCCAAGTGGGCTCCACACTGACAGCGGAGAGCCTAACGCAGGACTTGAACTCACAAACGGTGAGACCACCACCTGACCTGAAGTCGGGACGCTTAACCATCTGAACCCACGAGCACCCTGGCTGTCTGCACTGTTCAGTGGGGGAGAAAGGAAGCCCAGTAAATCCTGCAAGAGGTCATTAAACACCACTCTAATAGAGAGTATGTCACAAAATGAAAAGGAGCTTGCTGGCTCAGCTGATAAAACACTGAGACTCTTAATCTTGGCAAAGTACATTCATGCCAGGCTCTGGGAACAATCTTTAGTTTGGAAAGAAGCCATGGTGTGATGGTTGAAACTAGAGACAGACTGGTTAAGTTCAAATCCAGACTCTGCCCTCACTATGTAACGTTGGGCAAATTATCCTCATTAATCTGGCCTGCTAAACAGGTATGATGATGTCAATCTTATAGGGATGTGGATGGATTAAATGAGATAAATATGAAGTGATCAACTTAAAACTGGAAGGGCTCTATGAAAAAAGTTACTGTTACAGATACTGAAACTTATGCCCCTCCCCCCCTCAGTGCAGACCAAAGGGAGACCAATATTGTCAACAGAAGGAAAATATATAAACCTTTTCTTTTCATGATCTAGTATCATAGATCTCACTATACAAGCATAGAAGCTCTCTTAACTGTAGCATTTGATTGGCAAAGAAACTAAAACTGTAAACTTGGGTTGATTTTCTTGTAAAGTCCCCCCCCCCCACCACCACCACCTTGTGCTTCCCAAGAACTCTGAGAAGTCCTGACTACAGGCAAATACAGAAGAGGAGTGCCAAAATAGGGGGAAAGCCCAAGTGAATGAATTAAAATGGGAAAACAGTAGGATACAATGTTATTTTATATTTCCCCCTAAAAATAAATCTGCCTTACACACTAAAGTATTAGGCAATAGCAAAGACGTGATGACAATAGGCTATCCGAACGTAGATTTGGATCCATACGAATCAAATTGCTGTCTTTTTGTAACCATTTTATTTATTTATTTATTTTTTTTAATGTTTTTTATTTATTTCTAGGAGAGAGAGAGACAGCGTGAGCAGGGGAGGGTCAGAGAGAGAGGGAGTCACAGACTGAAACAGGCTCCAGGCTCTGAGCTGGCAGTCAGCACAGACCCCGACGCGGGGCTCGAACCCACGAACCGCAAGATCATGACCCGAGCGAAAGTCGGACGCTTAACCAACTACGCCACCCGGGCGCCCCTTTTTGTAACCATTTTAGAATATACAACTAAAATATATGGAGAAAGTTACCAATATATGGAGAAACTATATTTTTAAAAACAGGGGTGCCTGGGTAGCTCAGTCGGTTAAGTGTCCAACTTTGGCTCAGGTCATGATCTCACAGTTCGTGGGTTCAAGCCCCGCGCTGGGCTCTGTGCTGACAGCTCAGAGCCTGGAGCCTGCTTTGGATTCTGTGTCTCCCTCTCTCTCTGACCTCCTCCCCCCACCCCTCATGCTCTCTCTCTCTCTCAGAAATAAATAAAAACATTAAAAAAAATTTTTTTAATAAAAAATAAAAACAGGGGCGCCTGGGTGGCTTAGTCGGTTAAGCGTCCGACTTTCGCTTGGGTCATGATCTCACGGTTCGTGGGTTCGAGCCCCGCGTTGGGGTCTGTGCTGACTGCCAGCTCAGAGCCTGGAGCCTGTTTCAGTCTGTGACTCCCTCTCTCTCTGACCCTCCCCTGCTCACGCTGTCTCTCTCTCTCCTAGAAATAAATAAAACATTAAAAAATTAAAAAAAAAATTAAAAAAATAAAAATAAAAACAGATTCATCCTCTAAGTCTCAATGGCTTTATGTAAAACACTGATCTCTGTGATTCATGAATAGGATGTGCCAATTCCTGAATGCAAACCGAAATGACAGGAGAAGCTGTCAGAGCTACTACAGTCATGAGTATGAACATGGGGAGGGAAAAGTAAGAAAAGAGAAGGCCTACTCTGTTCTGTAGCATCTAGCTCAGGGCCAGGAACAATAAAATGCAAGTATTCATAAGTACTCAAAAATATTAAAATCCAAATAAGAAAGCAAATTTTGTAACCTATAACTGGCATATAAATTCGGGAACATATACTGATACTCTAAACGTTACGGGTAATCCAGTGTTTACATAAGTTCTGAGACCATCTGCCTGGTTTGTAATCTCCCTTAATTTAGCAGCTGGTTGACCTGCACAAGTTCCTGTACCTCTCTGTGCCTCAATTTCCTCGTCTCTAAAATGGGAAAATGGTATCTTTCTCATAGGGTTATTGTGATGGTTAAATAAGACACGTGAGGTGCTTGATAAAATATCACATAGAATGTACACAATAAATGCCGGATGTCATTACAGAAGCAATAGAGGCGAGTTGTTTAACTGAAGAAATTTTTGTTGAGGAGTTAAACAGAGTCCCAAACTCATATGCAAAGTCATTCATATCAAAGCTAAAGCTGTATCTTTAGTTTCAAGCATTTAATGAAGGGTAATGTTATGATCTCCAATCCAATTTTGGGGATTACACAGGCAGCCTCCTCCTTCCCCCTCCTACCCAACCATTCCCCACGCCCCTTGGAGCCCAGGCATCAACTCATCAGCCACTTAAATCCTTTCCACGACTGAAACTCTTAATGCTTAAAAACAGACAAAAAGCAAAACATCTCTAAGTGTAGCAAAGCAACAACTAGTACACAAGTATAGCAGAATGCTTTTAAAGTCAATAAAACTCTAAAATGCAAAATAGTGAATCAAGGTGGGTCCGGATGCAAGGGGGTAGACAAAGGAGCAGTAAAGGAAAATGGGCAACAGGAGGAACAGGAGACTTCACAGAGCTGTGAACATTTAATCCCTGAACGCTCTTACTTTCTCCTTGCTATCGTTGTAAGAGCTTTTCTCTCATATAACATATTAAAGTCACTGCAATACTGAAGACATTCCAATTCTTGGACAATTCATTTTCTGAAGCTCTTGCTGGCTCCATTAATTTGTCACTTCCAAGCAATTCAGAATTAAAAAGAAACATACACAAAGACCACATTTCTGTTACTTGTGGGTAATGGCTTTTTTTCCCCCTCCTATCAAAAGGCCACCCGTCTGGCATTGTTTTTTCAGTCAATGACAGATAGAGACCAGCCGCCTTCTTCTCCAAAAATGCCCCTCCCTAGTTATTATAAAGACAAAGCCTGCGGGATTCCAGATGGTAGGCTTTCTCTCCAGGCTGACTGGCACTTGTGGAGACCCCTGCCATCTCAGCTTATCGGCACTTCCACTCACCTTGTAGAGAAAGAGCAAATCCACACGGAATTACTGATGGTTATAAAACCTGTTTCCTACGGCATTTCCTTATTCTCCACCTAAACCCCGTCTCACAGGTGCTACCCCAAAGGTGTGTCCCCAGCAGAGCCCAGCTCCTCCTTTTTTACACCCTTTGGAGGCCTCGGGGAAAATCACACCTCCGATGAGCAATTCCTTGAATCCTGTCTAGCCAAGCCAACACCTCATCTAGGTCTTCAGGTCGGGTTTTCAAAACGAGTTGATGGGGGCCAGGTGGTACGCCCACTCACAAGTTTACGGCATAAAAGTCATGATTTAAGACGTTCGCATCCTGATTACAAATCAAATCTCGGAGGGGGGCTGCTCCCAGAAAAAGACCTCCAGCTGCATGCCCCCATTTTTTGAAAAGGAGGAGGGAAAAATCCAAAATGACAAATTTACACGTCCCCACATGCTAAGAGACCTGTAAGAATGATGACTTTGAAAGAAATGCATATTGTGTGTTATATTATTTACATGTAATTGCGTAGGAACGAGACAGGTAGCACAGAGGCTACAATACACGGTTAATACGAATAGATGTGACACACATGTCCCTTTCTTTAAAAAAAAAAAAAAAAAAGCCACACCCTCCCCGGGTGGCCTCCCAGGCTCGCCGGGGCCAAAGGCGTCACGTTGTCCGGCGGCCCACCGGGTGGGGGTCCCAGCGGAGGCCCAGCCCTCCCCGGGCGGAGAACGCCGCTCCGCGGGCGCCCCCCGCCAGGCGGGTGCTCCGGGTCCCCCACCCCCACCCCCGGGCGCCCCCTCCCCGGGGCCCGCCCAGTCCTGCCCCGCCCGGCTAGCCCCGCAGGCCGCGGCCCGGCCTCTCCGCGACCCGGGCGCCGCCCGCCAGACCCCGGCAGCGGCCGCGCGGGGACTCGGCCCGGGCGGGGCGGGCGTGGCGGCCCGGCCCGTGCGGGCCCCAGACTCACCATGGCCGAAGAGCCGCGAGCGCGCGGGCAGCCCGGAGTCACACGGCGCCGGCAACGCCCGTTGTCCTGGTGACGCCAGCTGGCGTCCCGCCCCGTTCCCAAGGTGGGCTCCGACGCGGCCATTGGCGGCCGGCGAGCACGTGACGCGCAGGGCGGGGCCGCTCGGACCGCCCCCTGCGCCCCCGCCCCGCGCGTGCTGGGCGCCCGGGGCGAGGCCTCCTCGCCTTCCACGCTTCGGGCCAGGCCGCGTCACACCTGGACGTCCCTCACCTGACAGGCTGCGCGGCTGAAGAGACACTTGTGGATGTGCTTTATTTAGGAAACAGATTACGCAGGTGATGCGTGATTATTAAAGACACTTAACTAACGAGAGCAAGAATGAATAAAGAATGAGACCGCACAGATTCCCAGCACAGGTAACCCCTGCTTCTATTCTCATTTATCTGCTTCCGATGAAATATGCGTGATAATATACTCTATTCTTAAAAATGGAAGCAAACCAGGGGCGCCCGAGGGGCCCGGTCCGTTGTGCCTCTGACTCTTGGCTTCGGCTCAGGTCAATGACCTCATGGTTTGTGGGTTCCAGCCCCGCGTTGGGCTCTGTGCTGGCAGCAAAGAACCTACCTGAGATTCTCTCCTCTCTCTCTCTCTCTCTCTCTCTCTCTCTCTCTCTCTCTCTCTCTCTCTGCCCTTCCCCTTCTCATGCTCTCAGATAAACTTAAAAAAAATAGAGGCAAACCATACGCACCTTTATAACCTACTTTTTTCAATTAAAAATCATCTTTGCATGCCATTCATGGAATAACATTGTGTGTGCATACTCCAGTTTATTAAATCAATTGGCAGTTTGTTGGATGTGTTTAATATGATTGAAGGGAACTTTAGCTATCCTCAAATCCAGCCCATTAAATCTATGGAAGTGTGTTCAACGGCCAATCTGACATCTCCTCTGAATGGCTAACAGGTATCTCAAACTTAATATAGCCCACAGAGGACCTCTGATCCAAATGTCATACTCACTCTCCAATTCTCCTCATCCCTGCAAAAGTTTCCACTTCCTCCTCGGTTGTTCAGGACAAAAACCTAGGAATCATTCTTGAGTCTCTCCTTCCCTCACACCTCACGTTCTGGACTCTATCTGTATGTAAATCCTGAATCTGCCTATTTGTCACCATCTCCACCTCACAGTCACCGCCACTTCTTGCCTGTTAGTCTTCATGCCACCTGTCTTCTCTCCTACAGCCGACACAACAGCAACGGTGTGGTCGCCTCTCCTGGCACGTAGGAAAAAGACCCCAACTCTTCCTGATGGGGGTCTTATCTCCCGCACTGACTTCATCTCCCACCGCTCTTCTGTCTTTCAGTCTACACTCGCCATGCTTTATTTCCTGGGGTTCCTCCATCATGTCCAACCCTTTCCTATTTAAGAGCCTCAAGCAACAACTGCTTCCTGTATTTGGAATATTTTTCTTCCAGAACACCACACTGCCTATGCCTTTACCTGAAACAGGTTGGTTACCTCCTCAAATGTCATCTTCACCGAAGTCTTCACTGATTATTCCATCTGAAATATCTCACCCCAGTTACTCTTTCTCACCACAGTCAACCTCTCCTATACCTAGTACCCTTTGAAATGATCTTTCATAATTTTTGGAATATTCATTACTGCCTGTCTCTTCACCCTGGAATGCAAGATGTCTGTCTCATTCCTTCCCTATGTTCCTACTGTTTCAAACAGTTCCTGGTTCATAGTGGATGTTCAATAAATACTGATGATTAATTGATTGAATGAGTGAACATCTGTTCTCAGACTGGATGGTGGGTTTGAAGATACAAATAAGAACATGACCTGTCAAAAAAAAAAAAAAAAAGAACATGACCTGTCAAAATGGGGAGTGTGATAGAAGAAGAAAAACTAATTACTTGTAAGTTTTATCACTTTTAATATGAAATATACATATAAGTGGTAAAATATAAATGTACAGTTTTTAAAAAGTGAATGCTTATGTAAACACTGCCTAGTTCAAGAGATAGAACATTGCCAAAAACCCTGAAGAGCTCATGTGTCCTTTCCCAATATTAGCCACCCTTTTCCAAGTGACCATTATCTTAATATTTATAGAAAACACTTTCTTGGGGCGCCTGGGTGGCTTAGTTGGTTAAGCGTCCAGCTTTTACTTAGGTCATGATCTCATGGTTCGTGGGTTCGAGCCCCGTGTCGGGCTCTGTGCTGACTGCCAGCTCAGAGCCTGGAGCCTGTTTCAGAGTCTATCACTCCCTCTCTCTCTGACCCTCCCCTGCTCATGCTGTCTCTCTCTCTCTTCTAGAAATAAATAAAACATTTAAAAAAAAGAAAACACTTTCTTGCTATTTTTATATAATTTTGTAATTCATTAATTCTCATTTCTATAATGTAGTCCATTAAATGCATATGCAAGAATATATCCATTCTACTGTTGATGAGCTTTTAGGTTGTTTGGGTTATTTACTGTTTAGGACTATTTTATTTTATTTTTAAAATATTTATTGTTGAGAGAGAGACAGAGAGACAGAGCACAAGTGGGGGAGGAGCAGAGAGAGAGGGAGACACAGAATCTGAAGCAGGCTCCAGGCTCTGATCTGTCAGCACAGAGCCCAAGGCAGGGCTCAACTGGGAGATCGTGACCTGAGCCGAAGTCGGACGCCCAACGGACTAAGTCACCCAGATGCCCCACCTCAGGATTATTTTAAGACAATGCAGTTATGAGCATTTCTCCTTGTACACAGGAGTACTCATTTCTCTGGATGAGGGTTTCTTAACCTTGGCAATTTTGATATTTAACAACAGATAATTTTTTGTTGTAGGCAGTGGGGGCACAGGGCAAGAGGGAACATTGTAGGATGTTTAGCGGCATAGCTTTTACCCATTAGATGCCAGTGGCATGGCCCCAGTTGTATAAACCAAAAATGTTTCCAGATATTTCCATATGTTACTGGAGAAGCAAAATTGCCCCAGTTGAGAATCACTGATCTAGGGTAAATAACAAGCCATAGAATTCCTGGTTTGTCGATCTTTAGATTAACCACATAGTGCCAAACTGTCTTCCAAACTACTTGCAAGAGCAATGACTTAGAATTAGCAGATAGGGAGCTCCAAGGATGGGTCCCTTGCAAGACCTGGTCTTCTCAGAAAGAATTCAGCTAGCCAAAACCATTTGGCAACATTTTTGGAACACTGGAATCTAGTCAAATGCCTGTGTCAAGCAGGGAGTGCCTAATGAGGAAAGAAGCAGCTGAATTTTGGTAGGAGACATTGTGTCATTTTCGCTTACCTGCCTGGCATCCTTTATTCCTCAGCTCAGCAGCAGCCTGTGGACAGTGGCCCATGTTCCTGGTATAATGTACTGGTGCCCGGGAAAGCAACATGGACATCATTCTCAACCAACTGAGCCACCCAGGCGCCCCATAACATGGACATCATTCTCAAAAATGGTGGTCATCTGGGGCGCCTGGGTGGCTTAGTCAGTTGAGCGTCCGACTTTCGCTTAGGTCATGATCTCACGGTTCGTGGGTTCGAGCCCCGCGTCGGGGTCTGTGCTGACTGCCAGCTCAGAGCCTGGAGCCTGTTTCAGTCTGTGACTCCCTCTCTCTCTGACCCTCCCCTGCTCATGCTGTCTCTCTCTCTCTCTCCTAGAAATAAATAAAACATAAAAAAAAAAAAAAAATGGCGGTCATGAATTCCTGGTGCTTCCTTAAGGGACAGTGCAGAAACCGGTCTTTATTTTGCCTCAGGTTGGAGTGGCTTTCTGTGTGGCATCTGATAGAAGTATTTAAAGATATATGCTACTTATTGGTGACGGGGGTAAGCAATGAAAGAAGAGGCACATAGCATGACAGGCCCAAAGACCTGGGTATGAGAAGTCTGAGGAGGAGGATTCTTGGGAGACACGAGCAGTAAAGGACTACCGTGTGCACTAGGGCACCTGGAGTGCAGTGTGCATGCCCAGGGGCAGACACGTACTCCAAAAAGACCTGAGGGGACTCTAGACCTCTAGCTCCGGCTGATCTTTGGACTACATTCAAGTAGGAGGTGAAGGCTAAGGCAGAGTTGGCTTAGCATTGAAGGAGCATCCTAGCTCAGAGCCAATATACAATGACCAAGGAAGGTTTTTTTTTTTTCTTTTTCTCTTCAGGCATTTAAGGAAATATATTCCATTCCCTGGCTGACTGCTGGGATAACAGAAAAGAGACTTTGGTGAGCATATGTGACAAGTACTACAGTCTTTGCAAAAGCAGTTTGGAAATGGATAAAGATGACCTTTGACAATTCACGCCAGAAAGCCCCGTGGAAAGGGAGAGAATCTTAGAGATGGCAAGTATATTTGTCATTTAGGGCTTGGGGAGGAATGGACGGGGTACAGAGGTGATTTCTAAAGGGTATGAGGTTTCTTTGTGAGGTGATGAAAATATTCCAAAACTGTGGTGAGAGGTGCACATAACTGTGAACATATTAAAAGCCATTGGCTTGTACAGTTTATATTAGTGAAAGGCATGATATGTAAATTATATCTCAATAAAGCTGTTTTTTTAAAACCTGTGTTGTTGGCTCATACACATTCTATTTTTATGTTTATTTTATGTTTATGTATATTTCATGCGTGTGCCTGAGTGGGGGAGGGGCAGAGAGAGAGGGAGAGAATCCCAAGCAGGCTCCACACTGTCAGCACAGAGCCTGACATGGGGCTTGAACTCACCATGAGATCATAACCTGAGCTGAAATCAAGAGTCAGGCACTTACCTGACTAAGCCACCCAGCTGTCCCAGCTCATAGACGTTCTTACTGTAACATATTCTTGGTCGTTTACCTTTGTATCAATATGAACTAAACCTCACTTTTCTCTTTGAATCCCCTTTACTTTTTTCCCCTGCTTTGTTGATGTATAATTGACAATTAAACATAATATATTTAAGATATACGACTTTATGATTTGATATATGTATACACTGTGAAGTAATCACAACAATCAAATAAATTAACACAATCATTGCCTCACAATTACCATTGC